TAAAAAAAAAAAAGCAGGCCAATAATAAAATAGTTTTCTTAAATTTACCTCTTTAATTGGCCTACAGGACTGACTAAAGGTACACACGTTAAATCCTTGGTAGAAGAAGTTAAACACAATGCGTACTAAGTAATATGGTAACTGTGCCCTAAGAATTAAATATGGACCACATGACTGAGAACCTTCTGTCAACATTTCTTTAGAGGGCGGGGCACAGTGGTACACACCTTTAATTTTAGCACTTGGGAGGCTGAGGTAGGAAGATTGTAAAGTTCCAGGCTTGAACAGAGACTGAGCTGCTTCATCTAATGACACCATTTTAAAGAGAAGCATTTTACAATCAGGAGAATTTGAGACATAGTTCAACCCTAGTTTAACTTCAGAAAGTTAAAAGGACTGACTGCTATATTTAAGAGCCCAACTTAAAAGGAAAACCATAACTAGACCTCAGAATACTCAACTACCATTTTCCCTACTTAAGAAAATGAGTAAAAATTTCCCATAAGCACATTATGAACATTACTTTCTATGCAAACTTAATAAGGGTAAATACTGCATAACAGAGAAATTGTCCCTCATATAAAGTCATCTCTACCATTTAGCTTGAACAAAATATCTCCTTTAGAAAAGCCTTTGAGTACTAATAATTTTGTCTATATGGAAACAAAATAGAAATAAAAATTAATTAAGGACAGGAGGTATGGCTCAAGTGGTAGAGTGTCTGCCTAGTAAGTGTAAAGTCCAGAGTTCAAACCCCAGTACCATTACCAAAAAAAAAAAAAAAGGAACATTCAAGGAAGCTATAAAAGTAAACAAGTATAAGCTTACCAAAATGAAATAAGGGAAAATTTTGTGTTTTTTCCCTTATACTTAATGACTTATAATAGCTTATAGTACTTTGACATTTGCTTACATTTTTTTGGTGGTACTAGAGCTTGAACTCAGAGCCTCATGCTTGCTAGGCAGGTATTCTACCACTTAAGCCATGCTTATTTAATCATACTCCTTTTTTAAATCACAAAATACCATTAAAAATTTTCATTCAGGTTTAGTCTGTTCCTAGTAATCAGGACTTTGTAGAGTTGGGAAGAGAAGTAGCACTCCTCACAGCCAAAAATTACGTATGCCCATTTGAGTATGCTTTTAAACCTATTTAAATATTTCTTTGAACCCAGGTACCAGTGGCTCATGCCTGTAATTCCAGCTACTCAGAAGGCAGAGATCAGGAAGATAGCAGTTCAAAGCCAGCCCCAGGCACAACACAGGGCTGGTAGAGTAGCTCCAGTGTTAAAGCACCTGCCTTGCAAGCATGAGGCCCTTAGTTCAAACCCCAGTACCACCAAAAAAAAAAGTCTCTTGGAATCTAGATCTCTGGAGCAGTAATTTCTCTTCAAATACTAATCATGTTGGCTGAGTTCTAATAAAACAAGGGTAATAATAGATGAGTGATATAATAGCAATAAAAAAAAATCCCCCCAAAATCTACACTGCACCAGATATTTGAAGTGAACCTCATATTTGCTTGACATTTTCAGCAGTAAAATGCAAATCATAGAGTTGACAGCCTAGACAGAGAAAATATATATTCATAAGATAGACAAACTATATTTTTTCACAAGAAGCCTTCAACAATTCAGCTAATGTTCATGAAGGAACTGATAGAAAAGAGAATTTACTAACAGCAAAAATTGAAAACATCTCAAACCTTTTATAATAACCTCCTTTTCCTAAAGTCAGTGCTGTATCTATAATTTTGAGAGGAAAACGAAGATAGACTAAGGAAATTATTTCATTTATATTTTAGAACAATGTCCACTACTGTATCTTAAAATTTCTTAGTTTGTTTTTTGAAACTCCTCTACCTAATAAACATCACTAAGTCTGAAATGCCTATCATTCCCCACAGACTAAAAATTGTTTTTAACTCTGATCTGAATAGAGTGGGAATTGAAGATGAAAAAGAATACTTATTTATCTTGATCTGATTCTGAAAGCAATTTTGTTTTAATGGAGGCTCATTTCAAAGCCTAAGAAGTCATATGGCTTGGTAATAATTATCTATTGTATACTGTAAAAATTGCTGTTAAAATCCCTATAATTGCTCCTATAATCCCAGCATTTGGGAAGCTGAGGCAGGAGGGTCACTTGAGTATAGAAGTTTAAGACCAGCCTAGGCCACACAGCAAGAGAGCATCTCAAATAATTAACAACGAACAGCTCCATTTTAAATTGACAAACACCGCATGTCCTCCAAGTGTTCCAGAGGCAGGTTCTTGATCCTGCCTATGATACTTCCCTCATCTTTGCTAAAGTACAGCTTGTTCAAGCTACATTGCTACACTCAAAGAGATCTGTAGATCTGATTATACACAGATGTGACAAACAGGCAAATTGCTTACAACTTACTTAGAAGGAGGGTCAAGTTTAAGGCCAGGTTGGGCAAAAAGTGTAACAGACTCCATGTCAACCAACAGCTGGGCATGGTGGAATGCCTGTTATCCCAACTATGTGGAGAAGCACAAATAGGAGGATGGCAGTCCAGGTTACTGTGGGCATAAAGTGAGACCCTATCTCAAAATTAACCAACATGAAAAGGGTTGGCAGAATGGCTCAAGTGGTAGAGTGGCTGACTAGCGAGCACAAGAACTTGAGTTCAACCCCCCAGTACTGCAAAAAAAATAAAAAAGAGATAGCTCTCCTCTCTCTCTTCAATGCATCTTCCATTCAAAGACATGTTTAATGATTAAAATCAACAGGTAGTTTATCATACCTTTAAATTCATTTTTCTAATGACCATGGAGAATGAAACAAATTTATTATCACATCCATATCAAGTCATACAGATTCTTTCTAGGTGCTTATGTTATGCTAGCCTTTTGTTATTCAGGAGCTCAACTAGTTTATATACAGTATTTTATGCAGTTCTTTTATCTTGTTTTTTTAAGTTTCTTTTTTCTTTTTTTGGAGGTACTGGAGTTTGAACTCAGAGCCTTGTGCTTGCTAGGCTGGCACTCTACCACTTGAGCAACACCTCCAGCCCAGTTCTTTTATCTTTTGACATGTGAATAACACTGACTTACCAGTAAGCTTCTGTTATCTTTTATTTTGCAAAGAAAGTTCTGCTATTATATCTTTAGGTTGCCAGCACTAAAACATTTGTCATATAAGAGTATTTTAGACTTCCTATGCATGTTGGATTTAGGTTCCATTTTACTGACATTCATTCTAATCAAGAAAAGTTTCTCTAAGCTCAAGGCCCTGAGTTCAAACCCCAGTACTACCCCTTCCAACTCCCCAAAAAAAGAAAATTTTCTCCAATAAAAAAATAGCCAAATAAATGTTAAGGTGCTGTGTTTTGTGGTCTAACATTACACCAAACTCAAGCATTGGACCTATTCCTTGGAAAGTCTTACTCCCAAACCATCTTTAAGAGTCTCTAAAAGTATAAAATTTAATTAGCTTTGGTTCACTCAGTGTTTATTTTTGGCCAAATAATAGCTCTTTGATTAGCCAGAATGAGGTCCCCCAAGTAGCAAATTTCTTACTTATTTCTCCAGCTCAGCAAGATATAAAACTCAATGAAGAAATTAAACACTATTTGTTGGCAGCAGATAATACAGATGGCTGAAATCTCCTATCATTACAGTAACTTGCCTCTGTGCCATGGCATTTATAAACTGAGGTACAGCTTATTATCAACACATTGACTCCAACCCCTTTCTACACCAGCCCCAACTCACCAATATTGCCAGCCTGGTCAATCCCTGGTCAATGAGTATCTTTATCCTCATTCTCATTGTTGATTCTATTATCACATATTGTGATAAAAAGCCATATACTGGCTTTTTATCAGAGTATTGGTAGTTTAGCCACAACCACAAGAAATATCAGAAAAGGAAAGGTTAAAGGGGTCTACTTTTGACACCTTCCCAGCTATTCTGGAAATACAAGTTTCTACCAAAGTTGTCTTATGCCATGTTGGGCTAGAAAAATTCATAAACATTCTTAAGATTTTGAATTCTTACGTGTCAAAAGAATATGGTAACACAGTAACTTCCATGCATACTAAGGTAGCGTTTGAGCAGTGACTTAAGTTCATTTACTGTGTTTAGGGTTCATTAGTGTGTAATATTTAAATCCGTCTCAACAATAACTTTGTCTTTTTTTTTTGGCAATACTGGGGTTTGAATTCAGGACCTACATCTCGAGTCACTCCACGCCCTTTTGTGTGAAGCATTTTTCACAATAGAGTCTTGTGAACGATTTGCCTGGGCTGGCTTCGAACCACAATCCTCCTGATCTTTGCCTCCTGGACAGTTAGGATTACAGACATGAGCTGTCAGTGCCTGGCAATAATTTTTGTACTACAATTTCTTTAAATGGATACTAAAATTTAGTGTTAGAATCTAGGCTCTTAAAGACAAGTTCTTACCACCATTTCCATCATAATGTTTCAGAAAATCTTTTGTTTGTGGGAAGGAGACTGGGGAGTGACTATGCTAATGGGTATGGAATTTGTTTTTTGGAGTGGAAAAAAAGGTCTAACCTTAAGTTTATGGTCATGTACAGTCCTGTGAACATGTTTAAAAATTAAGTTATACCCTTCAAATGGGTAAATGATATATAAATTATCTTGATAAAAAGATGTTTAAAATATTTTATCTCATTCTAATCGCTATTGTATTACATGTTTTAAAATATTTTCTAAAACATTGTTAAAGTACGTATTAAAAAAATACCTAATACAATAAAGACATAAACAGAAACCTGAACGTCCTAAATTAAGTCGGATATCAGAATACTGAAAACAAACCACAACCACCTATGGGTCAGAAATGACTGAAAGTTAAGAGTCCTTATTATCAGATAACAATCACCAAACAAAGAAATAGATTGAACATGACTTCTTCAGAAAGACTATTTAAAATAATCTTGAAATGCAAGGTTTTGTTTCTATACACAAAAATATTAATGAAGTCCTCAACAGCATGAGCACTTACTCATCATACTCGATATGATAAATAATGTCTTCATCAGCAGCAACTGAGTATGAATTAGACGTAGAGGGTACATTGTCCAATTTATTTGTGTTCTCTTTGGAATTATGATTTACATTTCCATTAGTCCTTTTATAAGAATTGCCATTCTTCAGTGGAGTTTTGCCACGTGAATGTCCAGCAGAAGCTCTAGTAACACTATGAATATGTGCTTCAAACCAAGCACCAAGGCCGACATCTCTGGCATCCACCAATTCATTTACCTAAAAAAGGTTTAAAATTAGTTAATGAAGCTTAATTTCATCTATTGCTTCAAAAACCTTACTATAACTCACATTATTTAAGAACTATTATGGTAAACAGTATTTGCAGCTACTCATGTTTAAAGTGATTAGAGATATATCAAAACTATTCTTTCTGGATTGTACTATCTTAAAGTTGCTATTTACTAATATCAAACTTAATCTTCCTCTCAATTTCCTTCATTGAAACAGGTATTTTAACTACTGTGTATCCATGTCTATACTACACTTTGAAAGTATAATTCTTATGTAACTAAGGATCATTCTTGCAAAAGTCATCCAATAAGAATGCTAATAAAAAAAAAACACTTTATGATTTTGATACTTTGCTCCATTAACATCTTCATAATTCTAAAGATAACTACATAGTCAGTTCATCCAGAGAACAGTATTAAATAGAAAATTAAACTTGAAAATAAAAGAATTAGGTAGAAGAACAAGGGGAAGAGTCTAGTAAACTCATCTTTACAAATGGGAACGTTTAGTTATTAACTCTCAAGGCAAATCCTCGAAGAATAAAGATAAAATATAAGAGCAGGGGTATAATATACAAAAATGGACAGACAGTTGAGTAGATGATCCAGAACTAAACCATGTAATTTGACAAAAAGAAAACTCAATATTAAAACATAAGATAAAATAGAGAATTAAGAGTTAAGAAATGAAAGCACATTTTAAGAAATCACCTCCAAAAACATCTGAGGACATCAGTGTAAAAGGAAGAAGCCCTTTCAGGCCAACAACAAAGAGAAACCTTTTCAACCTTTTCTATCTTTAAGTCCCTAAAAAGAAAAACTGAAATCACCGACACACGATCATCATCTCATCAAGCTAGGTTTCCTTTGAGGTACCCTCAAGAGACCACTTAGTGTTATATTAATATAATTCTGACAGATGGTATGCCTTAGAGAGGAATGTATATACTAAAAATTAAATACTCATGCCATATATTATACAATTTCTTTTTTTTAATACAAGTTTCTTTACTTAGGTTTGTTTAACCCTAACAAACTTAATAATTACTATTTTATAAGTTAAGGAAGCGAAGACTCTCAGAAGTTAACTCGCTATAGGTGAAAGATAATAAAAATGGAAAAGCTAGGTATTTGAAGACGTCTTAACCTTGAAACTTGTGTTTTTGCCATTACACCAAGAAGCTTGATAAGACAGATAAACAGAAATTTCAAAAGTGATGAACTCAGAAATGAGGTGTTAAGGACTGGGTGTGTGGTTCAAATGGTAGAGCACTTGCTTAGCAGGTGTAAAGCCTTGAGTTCAGCCTCTAGAACTGCAAAATATAAAGAAATGAGTTATTAAAAATGAAAAGATTCCAAATCACCACACTGACGCAGAAGGTGAAGAGGGTACTGAAAAGCCAAAAAAGTATTAACTTTCACTATCATTGCAAACTGAAATTTAAGATTTCATATAGCACTACACAAATACTGCTGTAGAATCAAATGCAGCATGTAGTCAATGCTAAAACACTGCTGACAGTGAAAACATCTGGCATAGTGGTGTACAACCGTTATCCCAACACTCGGAAGGCAGAGGCAGGAGGATCACAAATTCAAGGCCAGCCTGGGCTATAGAATGAAGTCCTATCTCAAAAAAAAAAAACCAAAAACCCATTAAGCAGACTGGTGGAATGGCTTAAGTGGTACAGCACCTGCCTAGCAAACGTGAGGCCCTAAAGTTCAAATCCCAGAACCAAAAACAAAAAAAAAAATTAAGCAATATAAAGCTTAATATGGAGCAGTAAAAAGGTAATATTGAACCGGAAGGCAGATCTACCTACATATATAACTGGAAAAAAGAACTACAAGCTTAATTATCATAGTAACTATAGTGAACCATTCACAATAATGAATACAAACAGGTTGGGATGCTCTTATATTCAAAAGTTTCTGCACATCACACAGACATACTAAGGCCAAATTTAAATGGGTCAAACTGCACATAAGAGATGAGCTCTTTTAAAGAGCATTGAGTTTTAATGGCAATTCAGAAGAAAACTACTTAAACCCATATAATTAACATGAAAACAGGATACTGCCATGGTGACTTTCTAAGTAATGTAGAAGAAATTAAGAACTGAAGTAATTAGCCAGAAAATAACAAAAATGAAATGACAGCTGGGCATCAATAGTACAGATCTATAATCCCAGCACTTGGAAGGAAAGAGGATCATTTTGAGTTTAAGGTCAGACTGGAATACATAGTGAATTCAAGGCCAGCCTGGGCTACATAGCCAGACCCCAGGACCCTATCTAAAGAAGAGAGAAAGGGAGAAGGGAGGTAACAGGGAGAGAGGGAAAGAGAGACAGACACAGAGAGACAGAGAAAAAGACACACAGAGAGAGAAAGATATAGAGACAAAAGAGGAAAATTGAATGTGGGAGTATTTCGATTATATTACAGGATTTTAATTTATGAGAATAAGTAAAGGGCAAACAGCTAATGTCACTGGAAGAAGAATTATTTAACATTTCCCAAGGAAGACACACAAGGACACAGAGGGAAGCAGCAGACTTGGTCAAGAGGCAAAAGACACTAAGGGAAATCACAGCCCAGAGCCTTTACTATATTTTCCATGGGAAAGGCAGGATAGGGCAAACAGGGTAAAACTAGCTAGCTTGAATAATGTCAGTGGGCAGTAGTCTCCAGCTGGCTGGTACCTGGCCATGGATGATCAGGGTAGAAGAATATTGGACTGATGTGTGAAAGTTAGATGAGGAACTTGTTCCAGGATACAGAATCAGGACTGTTTGCTTTGTATGTGAAAGGCAGGCTCACTGACAAGTTGTTAACTATCTCTAAGAACTAGTTAGACCTTTCAATTCCCAATGCCAAACTAACAAACTATAAAGGAATTAGCTAGTCCTAGGGAGGACAGTCTCTCACCAGCCAGCAAGGCCCCTCAAAGATGTCAAAACCTCATAAAACATGGAATGTTAAAAATAAATATGGAGCTGAAAAGTCATGTGGGGAGTAAGTCAACCACATGAGCTGAATTTATCTGTACTAAAAAATACAGCCATATATAGAGAAAAAGCTTCCATGTCCAAATATTTGAAATTCAAGAAAAACCAACAAATTTGAAAACACACAAATACAACAAAACAAAACAAAACAAAAAACCCTCTGAAATATAGGAAGCAAGGAAGAACAATTTTAAAAATAATGCTAAATACCAAATATTGGAGGGCTTACTTGAGAATGTTTCTTTGTTCCTCTTGGGTTTGTTTTGTTTTGTTTGAAACAGTCTCACTAGTTTGTCCAGAATGACCTTGGACTCAAGGTCCACCTGTCTCAGCTTCCCAAGTGGCTGAGATGATTGAGTATACTTCTAAACACTTCATTTGTTCTATGGAAAACACTCCACAGCTCTGCAGATAAACCTGAGGGCAAGTCCTTCACGTATTACCTACAAGGTATAACCTTGAAGAAGCTAACTTGTCCCAGCTTCATACTTTGCAATGTTAGAACATACCTTGAAGTGTATTTGAGGTAAGGTAAAAAAATCCATATAATGTGCCAATCTAGTTAGGAAGCATGTAATATGTACAAATGAAACAATGGTCTTCTTTTTTTTTGTGGCACTGGTGTTTAAATTCAGGACCTCACACTTGCTAGGCAGGCACTCTTACCACTTGAGCCACTTTGCCAGCCCTACATCAACTGTCTTCTTACACCAAATATCAACATCTCATTAAAACTCAGCACAGTCTTATTTTCCCATTGCTTGGTAAACATTAACAGTTTACACTTTAAATACATTATCTCCTTTAATAATTATAATACAAAACCATTTCTATTTTCCAGTAAGGTTCAGACATGAAACACACTCACCTTCAAAAGATACATAGCTAGAAAATATGTGAGCTGAGAACATCGGTTTATCCAACATAATGTGACTTATTCACTTATACTGTTTCTTTAGTTACAAATCAAAAAAAATACAGTACATTTCTGTTTATACAAAGTTCAGAAATAGGCAAATCAGGGCTGTATAAATAGGTTAAATATCAGAAATAGGTGGTTAAAGATTAACAATAGGATAAAGGAAATTATTATCACAGCAATTTGGGTAGTAGTTACAGGTAGAGAAGAGGGAGTTATAATCAGGAAGGGGTACACAGGAAGTTCCTATGGCACTGCTATTGTTTTGTAATTTGGATGGTGTTTATAAACACTGACTTCCTACTATTTCATTAAACTATTCTTTTTGTATTGTCTATAGATTTCACAATCAAAAAAAGGTTAAGTATCAAGAATTGCAGCCATAGCAGCTGTTGCAAATTCTACAGCAAACTCTTCCACCACCAGTGTGTTCCAGATGCTTCTGACTAATCTCCCAACAATTAGAGAATTGTAAGCACTCAGACCTTGGCCAAAGATGACGCAGATGAGAAACAAGTATCAACACAATAAAATCCCAGTTAAAACAATGTTTTTTTAAAATTCTTAACATGGAAGTTGAGCATCTCTAGGGGAAGAAGGGCAAATATGCTTGCCATTACTATGCTACACTGACATCTACCAAAGTTAATGTTTACTTGGTGTAGATTCATTTGTCTGTTTTATTTACTTTTCCCAGGAAAAAGTATATTTTAATAGTTTTTCCTTTATAATACACTATGAGTTACCAAATTAAAAAAAAAAAAAAGAATTGCCCCATGGACAAAAGACAGGATATAATATATACTAAAATATCAATATTTTCACATGGATAACTGATAATTCTCTTCCTTCATAAATTTCTGATAATGAACACAGGACATGTAAAAGGTTTAACAGTGCCACACACTTAGATAATCTTTAAAACTTAACATCCTAAGTGTATCATTTAGGCTGAATAACAACCATCTGAAAAGTAGGACTTATGTGAGTCATACAAAGCTTCCATATTAAAAAACCAGAATTAAAATCCATTTAGGTATGAAAAGTCCACATTGATT